ATGGAGAAGTGACTGTTGGTCACGGGGCGCTAAGCAGCTGGGTGGTCAGGGCTGAGGAAGAAGCAGACAGCAGTGCTGGCTCTCCCCTGCCCCCACACGGACGCGGCGCGATCCGAACCCGTGTGACTGCTGCGCTCGCTTCGCGGCGGTGTGCGGTCAGGGCAGACGGTCCCGCTCGGGGATACCTGGAGGAGGTCGGGCTGCTCCGCTGCGGTGCTTGAGGTCCGCTCGTGGCTCGGAGACGGGCAGCCGTTCCCCGTCTCTCTCCTCCTCCTCCCCTCCTGATGCCCGAACCGCGGAGAAGACGGCAGATCGGTGGCTCTCCTGAGCGCTGCGTCTGTCAGCCAGCGCCTCGCGGGCGAGAGCGCTCGCTTCCGATAAATACCGCCTGCCGCGCAAGGATTGAACCCGCGCCGCCTTGAAAGTGGCATTCTGGAGTCAATGGGGGAGCTGGGGCCCCCCCGGAGGAGGGGAGCGGTGGGCACGCATTAAGGATCCGTCAATCCGTGCGGAGCCGGAGAGGCCCCCGGCAGGCCTGCTATTATCCGCAATTGCGGAGGATTTCAGCTGATGGCGGCCTGCGTGCCCACCGGGGGGCGCCGCGTGAGGGGGGGAAAGGAGGAGGAGGAGGAGGAGGAGGAGGGTGTGAGCCATCCTCTTCGTCCTCCCTCTGTTGCCCCCTCGGACCCGTGTTCTTTTTTTGAGTTGCAGTGAGAGAGCCCCTTTATTGACTTTTTTTTTTTAATTTTGCTTTCGGCTGGAGATGAAACCCCACGTGCTGTCCGTCCGTCCAGGCCTTCCTCGGACGAGAACAGCTCGGCCCCTCCCTCCCCCCCCCCTCTCTCGTTCTTCTCCTGGTATTTTAACTTGATTTTCTTCTTTCTCTCTTTGCTTTTTCCCGGGGCTGCGGGTTGTTGAGGTTGGGGCAATGACTGACCTTCCTGGTGCTGTTTCTCCGGTATCCGTGTGTATCCGAGGTTTCTCCTGAGCTGCAGCGAGAGGCGGCGTCAGGAGCTTCGCTTGTGCATCTCTCTCCCTCTCCCCCCTCTGCTGCTGCTTGCTCGCGACCGGACAGATGTCATTACAGAAACCCACCCGCGCAGAGGCCCACCGGCTTGTTGTGAGGGAACTTGTCACTGCCTCCATCGCGCAGTATTTTTCTGTATTTCTGTGCTGTCGGTACTGGGGTTTGGGGTTTTAAGACCCCCTAAGACGAGGGCCCACTGGGAGGGCTTGTGGGATGCGGAGGTCATAGGTCAAAGGGCGTTCCACTGGCTAAAGTCCCTTTCCCATCCCCCCGCTCGGCACCTGTGCCTTGCGTCGAAGCAGGTTGGTTTAAATGGTTTCAGTGGTTTAGGACGGGCTGCCCCAGTTGTGTGTTGGAGTCGGGGTCCCTCTCTCGACCCGGTTCTCCTTGTACGAGTGCACCGGGCTTAACGAAGCGTCTTTTTCTTGTGAGCTTGTGTGCGGCATTTGTCTGAAAAGGAGCCGTTTTCCTGTTGGGTTCTGTCTCTTTCTCCCCGTCTCGCTTGAATGGGGGGCGTTGTCCTGACGCACGGGGCTCTGGACAGGCCTGTCCATCGCGCTCCAGCGGGGAGACGCGCTGTGGACCAGCCCTGTGCAGCTCACGGGCTCTCTCCCTGCTCTTTCTCTTCGTGCAACAGCAGCGGCGCCGGCCTGCTAATTAGGCTGAGTTATTGCTTAGAAATTGTAGCTGTTTGTCTCCATTTGCTCCACACGTCAAGGAGGGGGGGACGACGAGGGTGAGAGCAAGGAAAGAGAAGGAAGTTTGTCCAGTTGTGGCTTTTTCCCTGCACAGGTGGCCCATGGGCTCCTGTTGCGCAGCAGCCCAGTCCGCTCCGGGTTTTCCAGACTCCCGTTCTGCTGAGTTTCTGTTCCCTACTTCACACAGGGGTGAGGGTCGAAACAGGCTTTGCTGAGGGGGGTGGGGGGGAATCGGGGCTCAGGACCCTGCCTGGTTAGTAAAGGAAATGGGTGAGCCTACGTCGTCCCTGTTGTCAAGGAGCAGCAGTCTTTTCAGGTGGAGAAAACTCCCCAGCAGGGAAAGCATGTGCCCGGAGGTGAGTCGACCCCTGACCCCCC